AAAAAAAAAGATTTCATGAACCAACTGCAGGGTTTTGCCCAGGGTTTGCTTCATGAGATCCCAGGTTCAAAACTAGCGTAAGTTAAATACAACTCACATGGCAGTTAATGTGTTAAAAAATAAAAAAGTAAATTATATACCTAATTTTTAAACTATTTTTTGTCATTCTTAAATAACTAAGAATAAGACTGTGGTTACCTGGGCTGAAATGTTCAAAGTTCATACACAAAAACAGCTTCTGAACTAAACCATGTTTATTTACAGGTCAAGTATAGTCCTATTTATTTTAAACTAATGAGTTCAATCGAAGATTCAGGGTAACATTCTGACCTCATCATAATAAAGCCTGTGTGCTAAAGTTATTTTTACAGCTTCAAAAATACTTCTTTTATTTTCTAGATTTGGAAAGTGATTTAATCTTAAATATAAAACATCTATCATAGGGCAAATTACAGTTCTGAAATAAGCAATTACATTTAGCTAAAGGGTCTAGAAAAAGATCTTTGGAAAGAATATGTGAAGGGAAAGACAACTACAATACAAGGAGCCAGCCTATAAAACTTTAATATATTGTTAAATAAAAAATATTGTGAAGTATTTGAAGGAACATAAATAGCACAGGCTAAGGCATGAAACTACAGTCATGCTTAACGACAGGGATAAATTCTGAGAAATGTGTCGGTAGATGATGTCGTCCTTGTGCAGCAACCATCATAGAGTGTACTTACACAAACCCAGACGGTACAGCCTACAATACACCTAAGCTGTATGGTATGGCCCATTGCTCCTAGGCTACAAACCTGTACAACATGTTACTGTACTGAATACTGTAGGCAACTGTAATACGGTGGTAAATATTTGTGTATCTAAACATAGAAAAGTTACAATAAAAATGTGGTATTAAAATCTTATGGGACCACCATGGTATATGAGGTTTATCATTGACCAAAACATCATTATGTGGAACACAGCTGTATAAAGATTAAAAGGCAATTATAATAGGCTAATGTACATTAGAACTAATGTAGTAAGTTATAACAAGATAAAAATGTTTGTACATGTACATACATATATAGCAGAAATAAATATATAGACTTATAATGCAGATTTTGAAGACAAATTTCTTACCAGAAGTTGAAGACAAAATATTAACTATAGCAACTTGTGTGTCTGAAAGTGCTTCCTGATATGACAAATTTGCCAAAAACCACTAAAGAAAAAGAAAACAAAGTGAACCCTTATTGAAAGACAGGTTTACATCTGTCATTACAATTTCTAGTCACCTCCTTTGTTTTTCTTCTAAACAGTGTTATCACAAGGTTTTAAAAACTGCTTTGTAGGCCGGTGCGGTGGCTCACACCTGTAATCCTAGCACTCTGGGAGGCTGTGGCCGGAGGATCACTGGAGGTCAGGAGTTCAAGACCAGCCTGAGCAAGAGCGAGAACCCATCTCTACTAAAAATAGAAAGAAATTATCTGGACAACTAAAAATATA